CCTTGCGCACTGCGACCGTCATACTGACAAGGTCCAGTCGCAGTGTTGAGTTAAGACGTATGACTTAAAGGACCGAAACGTCTTATCTCACTTTCACCACCAACCTTCATTACTGTCTCCTGCGCTTGCGCATCCTCCCATCCGCACTTCCAGGGTTGGCCTGAAAGCTGCAATCTACTTGGTCAAAGCAACTGGTGAAGTTGTCAGCTGCATAGCTGAAGGAGCAGACTAAATAATGTACTTTTAACAAAGACTGGAAAATGCCCATGGTCAGTTGAGTTGGGTTCTATGTACTGAGACCAAAAGTGACCTTTCTTTCGCTTTTCAAGATAAACTGCTATGAGATAAACTTCCAGATCAATCACGATTCACTGAGCAGACATACGACGAGTTGGCGTGGTAGGCCAAAGGTGAAGCTTGCCAGAAATGCGATGATTGACAGCAGCTCGTCGGAGCACAATCTTTCGAGATATTCAAACGCGAATGGTTTGTTTGTTTTTAGACATGGTTTGTAGTACCCCTCGGTGTTCACGGATCAGTTACGAGGTCACCCCTAAAGAAATTGATCTTGTTATGACTCATTTCAGAGGTAACTTAGTAATATGTCCATATATCAGTGATATACCCAAGTATCAGCAATATTGGTGTCCGAAACCAAAGAGCCAGTGATATGTCCAAGTATACTACAGACCCTTTCTTCCCGTCCCCACCATGCTTCCCGAGTGATCATTCATTAACAGCAGTAACAAATGGACTTCCTACTGATGTGCTTATTTCTTTCAGTGACTCGAAAATAAGGAAATTTGTGTATATGACTACCACAGATCTGCCAAATTTTGCTCTCAGAAAAAGTACATTACCATCAGTTGTTGTGCCTCTCCTTGTCTGTCCACCTTTTTTCTAAAATTGCTGCCTGATGAGAATGCGTATAAAATGCACTGCATGAAAGTAGATGGAAATGAGTCAAAATCAAAACTCTCGCCGTCTTCACCGTGAGAAAAGAAAGCAGCCTAAAGTAGCCCGACTGATGGTAGAATATGCTAACAGCATCCACCCGTTGGCAACGCTGTCGATAGCTCCTTCCATTTCGAGCTAGTTGTTCAGAAGCAAGCTGATGGCGGTTTTGACTTCCTGACACACGCAGATACCAAATTACCACCAAAACGAGTGAGTGGATTGTAGAGAGATTTGGCTGGGTGTTGTAAAGAGCACAAACTAAATGTTATAAAACGATGAAAAGCCTTTTGCAGGTTATGGTTTTGGTGTGCAGTGTATCGAGTACAAAGATTCCTGGTGCCGACGAGGAGCAATAGCCGCTGAAAGATGTGCTGAGCGTAATTTGTCGAATATCGACGGAGTTCGTGAGACTGTCGCCTAGCAGTCGACTTTAGCCGCCCCTATTTTGCTATTTGCCAATTATTTTGAGTTTCTAGTTATTTGCTTGCGCTGCTTACGAGGTACCACGCACTACTCCTTCTGCTTTTGGTTTTTCAGGATTTGCTCAGGGGATGATTGAGCGCAACTGGAGATTAGTTTTTTGATTGCGGTCAAAGTTCTAAGATATATCATAATCCAGTATAAAATCCACTATGTATCCCAGCTCAACCGTAAATCAACCATTTGACTGCCTATTCGTAAAAAATGCAAAAAGTCGCCATCGGTTTGCTTCTCAGCAACTCTTGAATTAGGGAGCCATCAACCACCTTGCCAGAGGCTAGTTGCTCTTGGCAGCTGCTATCATTTGGACTATTTCCGAGTATCTTCACTCCTCAGTGAGAGGCACAAAGCATGGATTTCTATATTAAATCGACTATCCTCACGTAGCTTGCCTGAATAGCAACCAGTTAAACCTCCTGGTTTCTTCGGATTTCCTAGTGATGAAGCCTGTTTTTGGTAAGATGTGGTGAACCAAAACTGGGCTATTCCTCAAAAAAGAATGAAACGAAAAAGAAAATGAGCAATGCGGGAAATGTATGCGGAATCTCCTCTTTTTCCTGCTTGATTCGTGATCATTTTGCTATCATTTGTTTAAAATACGGGTAAAAAAAGATTCTTTTTGCTGTTATTTAACAAAATACTTGTTGATCAACACTTCGATCTTCTACAATGGCAACGTGGGCTGTTTTCCGGAAAATAACAAAATAAAAACAATTTCTAAACATTTCACTTTGTCTTAAGTATTTGAAGAACAGCTGTCGGAATGTTGATTGAGCAAAGTCAAAAAAAGCAAAAGCAGAGAAATCCAAACTTATTTTTCGAGATCGCGTCGCATCCAGCTACAGTCAATACCAAACTAGCCCTCACTATAATCTCTTTGGAGTGCTTGAAGATGCTCCAGGAGGTTATCAATACTGTAAAAATGCAGAAAATGGTGCTTAGCGTGATGTATGACCAATTGATGAGGGAAAAATCAAGCTCCTGGACCGTTGGAAAAGGTGCAACAAAAACCAAGCAGATTATATGGAAAAAACAGTGTTGTTGCTTAAGTCCTATCTCCGGTAAATTATAAATATATAGTACGAATAGCTAATACTGAATCTCGCTCGTGCAGCACGATGAATCGAGGAACAATGAATTTTTAAGGTGTAGCAAAAAATAGCACTTTTGTAGTATGACAGGTTGAGGGTCCCACTTGGCCCGATGGAATAGCCAATTCCTGTACGATTCGCACATTCATTTCAATGGTAAGCTGATTGTAGCATACAAGTAATATCAGGAACTTAAATAGAGCAAAAATAGAACGAATTATGTGTTGATGGATTTGGAAATATAGCTGGTGCAGGAAAAATAAGTGCGAAAGAGTTGAGACGTTTTGGTTCCCCCTCTACGTGTCTCCGCCTCTCATAAAGGGGAATAGGGAAGAAAGAAGGGGGTTCCACGTTATGCCACCATTCAGCTGAGGACGGGGTTTAATCATTTGTGCGAATCGACAAATCAACGCATTAACGGCCCATCGTTATTCCGCACATCGACGGGAGCAA